GGAGGCAATCATTTCCCTTTTTTAAAATATCAACTTCAGTTATCTTAAAATTTAAATTAAAGATTTGTAAATTGTAATTTTTCCTAACTGAAGGGAGGGGTAAAATAAAAATTAAAAAAGAACCAAACAAAGACTAATGAACTGGAACCAATTTAAAAGAAACAAATCAAAAGCGATTGGTCGGATTTTGCACTAAATGGTTTGCGGTCCATCAAGAATTCAAATGGTTGATGTGGTACCAAACTGTTTTTCCCATCAAATTTGACCCCACTACCAGCTGCCATATCCGATTAAATCAATTGGTTATTAGATGCTGATGTAGTACATTTGTTACAGGACAGGACAACCTTGAAACACATTTTCATGCATTATATAAAAACAGTTGATATGTATTAATTGATTTGAAATTTTATTTGTTTTTTCTTCTAAAATTTAAAAGTTGTTTGAAATGGGTATAGTCGTTGTTGGCTTATTGCTATCAGTACGTAAAAATATGTTAAGATTACCAAAATTTTTATCCTTCAAAACATTGCTATATATTGAAGAGGAATATTGCTAATGGAAAAAAATCGAGGATTATGGGTGGCTTAACCAAAAAAAAAAAAAAGGGGTAACAATAACCATGTTAGTTTGAAATTTAATTAAAAAATCCATTTATACTAATAAAATCATTATTTTTATTTTTTTTAATTAAAATTCACATTGTGTAAAAGTTTTTGAACGTTCTACAAGATTAATATAGAAATTAAGAGATGAAAGAATTAACATAAAGATAATATTAATATATTTTGACAAAATAAACTTCTAGCTCAAATTAACAAGGAAATTGTCTGTACGTGTTGAAAACTTCTATCATTAATGTGAGCTTACGAGTGGAGTATTTAAAATTACAAATTAGTAGTAGTAGTAGTATTTATTAATCATAGTTATAAAAAAATTAAGTAAAAAAAATCTCAAAATTATGTTTCTATTAATTATTTTAATAAAATATTATTATATGAAAAAAGTTAAAATAATTTTTATTAATATTTTAAAAATATATTGTTTCATTTTTTAATTTTATTAAAATAAAATAATTTTGA